CGACGACGCGCTTGTTTATATGATCGAAGAAATGATTTGCTTGACGATGACGGAATAGGAATATGAACGGCAATAAGCACTTCATCATCGGTTATTGATATGCAACGATTAGAAAGAAAGAAATCGCGTAAAAGTACATGACGTTCTGCATTGTCAACAGATACACGACGAAATTCAAGTGAAGCATTGGCAGCTTGAAGTATTGGATTTAAGTCAGAGCTGAAATACATTATATACAACGGAAATTTGACTTATACTTAGTTCAAATTAATTCAATGTGGAAACATCGGATTGAAATACGAGTGTTATATGTACTTCAAAAAGTGAACTGGACAGATGAGTCATTCTAGCACGTGTAGACATCGAAATTATCCTAGCAAGCCCCTTCTATTAAAACTTGATTTGTATTGGTTACTGCTCAACCAATAGGATTTCGAGGCAAGTAGAGCTCGGATTCGAGTTCTCCGCCCTAGAAAACCTCGAAGTATCATTTCTGTGATCGGAACATGGAGTTCAACTTTTCGATCAATTAGATCGTGGACTAAAACAGAACCGATTTCCGTTTAAGTATCTTTGCAATAGATGACTAAGCCCTCTTGTTTCTTAATGTTTTACATGCCATTTTGTAGCTTGTGAAATTCTCCATCGAATGGCATATAATAGTTGGGGTTGTGTTCGATTAAGAGAGGAAAAATTTCTTACGAAAACCGACATAGGTCAAATATTCACATACAAAAGCGTAGGGAATAATGACTCCTTTTGCGATAACTCAGCAATGGTTCGACGAATCATTCTCATCTTCGAACTCGACCGAGATATTGATGAGACGAAACTGTATAGAAAATTTCATCGCGATCGGGCTCTCCTTTCAAAAATTATCGTATAAACGGCGGGACGGTCGGACACACTGACCGATCCTAGAGTGTACTCACTTTTTGAGTACACAAAAAGATCTCAAGAGTCTTTAAAATTCTATGCAAATTAAGAGCATTACATGCAAATTCACGGTAAACATCTGAGTTGGTTATAATTCATAGAATATTGTGATAAAACAATTTCGAAATAAGAAAAAATGACTATTTCGTCATAATGAAACCAAATAGAAAAATTCAGATATGATTCATGACTTAGTATTATATTCTATTCACTCCTCAAAAATGTTTTGAATCACAATCAAATGAAATTGGAAACATGACAGATCGAAGTGCGAGAACGCTACTTCGTTTCACTTATTATATAACACAATGAAAATACATTCTATGAATGTATCGAAAACTATCTATAGTACAAAGAAAAAAATCGATTCCTCTGTACCTAATGTATGAGAACTACTAAGGAATGAGAATCAATTCACATCTGTATATTTTTCTTTGCAATAAATATGATTTTCGTTGCATTCATTATTTTTCAATGCGCTAAAAAATTGAATCGAGATTCAATAAAAAACAATTAAGCAAATAAATGGGAAATCTATAATTTGTCTCTCTAACCAGTCCAAATGAAAAATTAGGTAAAACCAACTGTTGCTAGCTGAAAACATCTACTGTCCATATTGGAATGTAGTTGTATAAATTGTTTGTTTACTGTTGATGAAAGAGTCAATATGGGTTCGCTAATCCAAAGCCTTGAGATTACACTAGCTTAAGTCTGTTGCAGTTAAATGAAGTTAGTACAATATACTAACTGAAATAGTTACTCATTTAAAGTAACTAGTAAGTATTTCAGTTAATGCCAAAAAGGCCTTTTTTAAACTGTGAAGACATAGTCATTACATAAAAACTCTATAGGGTGCATTCAATTTAAACGTTTCCAAAGATCTTTATGCCTTTTGTGCTCGACTATCGATAGCACCATCTGGAAGACAATATTTTAGGTTATTTTCATTGAATAACAAAAACAACTTTTAATTATAAGATTTTGTCAAAATCGCAGAACTTACATGGGCGAAGCATTGACAATACAACCTCCGAACGAAGCAACGTTTCGTATTTGTGCCGATGCAAAATGTTTCAGTTGATCAATTAGAGCTTCACAAATACCGCCATCACTGTTCACTTCTTTCTTCCATTCATATAATTTTGATTGTAAGCGTGTGAATGTAATACCAGCACCAATAATATAGGAATTCGGTGTTCTTTTTAATTGTTGTAATTCATCAATATGTGTTATTGAAATAAGACGATGATGTTGGATGTGTTTAAATTTTCTTTCAATTTGGACAGCAGTGTTTCCAAAGACGAGCTTCGATGCACTACCAGGATAAGAATGACGAAGAGAGAGTAATTCATCGAGTGAAATCGGACGATACCATTCGAGTATGGAACCTATTGAAAAGATTTGTAAGAATCATGTACAATCTGTGAGTATTATTGATAAATAAGTGATAATTACTATTGTGAAATAGTTACCTTTAATATGAAGCGACTGCGGAATATACTCCCGTAATTTCTGGGGGAACTCGATTCGAAACGATGGCGATGGCACATTTTTACTCGAGTACGAAATACATTTATCGAATGTCGTCGATGTGATTTTCGATGTTGATGATTCTCGAATTGAAATGTATTTATCAACATCTGTTGCAAATGTTTTAGCCGCATCTAGTATAGATCGATAGCCGGTACATCGGCATAGATGTCCATCGAATGCTTCCTCAATATCTTGCATTATCGGTGATTCATTGTTGTCATCCATTGATACAGTCTCATATAGAGACATGATAATACCTGGGGTACAGAAGCCACATTGTGTACCAAACATTTCAGCTAGACGAGATTGAACTGGATGAATATTTGAGTTTTTCACTGAACCCAAACCTTCTACAGTGATTACATGACATCCATCAACAGAACACAACGGTGCTAAACATGCATTCGCCGTATAATGTTCAATTTTACCAGAGTATCGATCAGTACAGTGTGAAATGAGGACTGTGCAAGCTCCACAGCCACCTGCACCACAGCCCAACTTGGAACCAGTTAGATTCAACTCTATTTAAAGAATGAACAACGTGAGAAAAACTAGCTAGAAATGTTTAGTTTATTCAAAGTGTCTCGTAACTTGTCTACTGTTATCCATGGAGTGTTAAAATGCATTGAAATAGAACTTACTATTTCTTAGGTACCACAAAAGAGTCCAATCAGGTTCAGCATTGGATTCGATTATTTCATTTCCATTTACATAAAATAGCAAAGAGTTTCGCGAATTTTGTACTAACTCTTTCATAACTTTTTTTTCAAATTGAATTCAACATACCCACATGTAAATGCACTTTTATCTCGTTCCTGCAACGCAATTCAAAGATAACAAGTCATGATATTTCGCTTGAAGAGAAGAATAAGCCAAAAAAAAATGTTTATGCTGAATAGATAAAACTGATATTATCATTTGCGACCGGCAAACAGATAACTATTACTGACGTGTTACATGCATTTTAGTAAGAACGATAATCTAAATACAGAAATTCAATAAAGTTTTATTGTTTCTAACATAATTGAATTCAACAACAATTTAAGGTCCCCTCAGAAATCGATTTTGAGACTAGAAACATTCGAATGGCATGAAATTTTCAGAGTATATGGGAACTGGTGTGGGATTGTTATGGTAAAATTTTCAGCCCTGTACCATGATGTTTGGCCGAGATATTAGCCAAAAATGGTAAAAAAATTGGTAATTTCATCTCCAAAAGTTCTCTGTGGTGTTCAGTATATACATTTAATATTTTTTTTTGTTTGAAAGAGCATGTCAGTATACAGTGCCTATGAGATCCCTGTTTTTAAACTCTTACTTTTTAAGGCAAAAAAAGGGGTTGAAAATTCAATGACTCAAAAATACTCTAAAAACGGCGCTCTAATTATATAAATGTTTATATATATAATAAAAGCAAAGTTTAATAAAAAAACTGACTCTCATAAATACTGCAGTTTTATATGCTCTTTCAAACAAAAAGAAAATATTTGCCTTTATATTACGTTGTAATAGAGTGCTGCTGGAGACGCGTCCTCAAATCCATGTTCTGAGAAAAATGAAAAATTACTTTCGGCTATTTGTAAAAATGGCTTGTTTTTCGAATTGGGAGCGAGAAAAGTCTTTCGAAAAGTTTTGAAAAAACCAAGGTGCCAAATAAAAATTTTGGCCACGTATGATGGAGCAGATGAAGAACCATTTCTCGCTGAATTTATCTCAATTTCGATGATTGTTGCGAAAAATGACTTTTTTGAGAGGGAATCTTAAACATGAAATATATATCAACTATTTTCAATTGTTTAAATAGATTTTTTAACCAGTGATCTCTCGTACGAGTATCTTCGAACAGGATCTAGAATTAAGAACTATCTTCCAGCAACTAGATCCTTGATTTTGGTTGACAAGATATTGAATACATTGGTAAAACTCTTCTCAGATTCGCAGGAAAGATATTTTAAAGAGACGGTTCACCAGATGGTCAATTTACAGCGTATAGGATTGACCGCAGCCGAATGGCTTATGTTCGATGGGTATATTTCAAAAGAAAGTTCGTGATCTAAAACTATTTGAGAGGATAACGGTTGTTTGTTCAGCGACACCCGGTATCATTCTTACTCGTACTTGTGGACAAACACAATACACATGCCAATTACCAATGAAAGTAATGAATATTTTTTTTAAACACAGCAAAAGAATAATAAAATTCACCTGTGATGATATATAGAAAGTAAATACAATGGATTGTTAAACACACATCAACATAAGTTTTCTTGCGACCCATTCATTTGCTTGATGAACAGGTAAATTAGCATTGAAAAGAAGCATTGATATGACAAAGAAACGAAATTTTCATGCTAACTATAAAATGAAGAGACATCAAAACATATTTGAATATTTTCAAATAGTGGATTGGCGATCCAATGTTAATAAATTCCTGGCTACGTTATTATTCAGCATGGAGTCAATTCGTTGAAGAACTGTTGATCACACATAGAGATGTGATAAGTGACCTGTTAAGATCTTTGTCGAAATAGTTATGTAACCAAATAATGGTACGAATTTCTTTCTTTATTACACGTTGTTGAAGTCATTGACTTATTTACCAGAATATTTAAACAGTAGTGTTCATCGAATGTGTTCTTTATTGATCGTGACTTGCTTGTCAGAGCCGAGTAAAAATTATGGTAACATGTTCGAACTCATGACAGAAGAACAATATTGATTGTTTGACTTTTTTCTTCATTGATTGACACAAGAAATTAAACAGAATGATGAACACACAAGTGATCGAATGCACTAAACGAGAATAGAAATCAAAGCAAATAATCGAAATTGACGACCATTTCTGTAACTTGTTCCAGTAATCATTCCCCGACAAAAGTGTTTTCACTTTCTTCTCCATCGGATAATTGGCGCAAGAGAACCAGTTCACTTAGCTTCTTAACAATACACTTGTATATGTCCAATCGTTACTTTAATGTTCACTTATTCTTATGATTAGCTGAAGATGTGTCCAAGAGCAAAATGATTGGACGATAGTTTTCATTTTTTGTGAAAAGTGCTACTCGAAATTCAAGCGTCATCAACAATAACTGGATAGATCAAGAAAATTAATGTTAGTCTTGTCTTTCGCTTTCAAAGATCGTTGATTCGACATTATATCGAAGTCTCAATACAGCATAGATGTGATTGCATGAATGTGATAGTGTCTGTCGCTCTGTCTTTGTGAGTTACGCTCACCTATACGCCCTAGTCAACAACCACTCGACATACACCCACACAAACTCCACCGAGTGCAGAAATCTAGGGACTAAATAGCTTATCCGTGTGCTCTTTCAATGTTTAAGAATCAGTTGTTTGACATGAATCTGAAGAGATAGATGCGATGAATATACAATTACAGGCGACATATAGCCTCGAAATTCTTTTTCCTATCTATGAACGAGTTTATCGTACCATAGTTTCAGCTAATATTCGACTTACCTACCGTAAACATCGAGTATATTCGCCTTGTTCTATCGTTGCTCAATGATAAATAATGCAAATAGTGTGCACGATTTTGAAAGGCTTCTACTAATTTATTACAACACCAAACATGTGTCCACTTTGCAAATGACAACAATCACGTCCCAGACTCTAATTAAATTTATTGGCTTTCACAAATTCAACCTTCTCATGATGTAAGCTCAGTAGTACAGTGTTATATTCAGTTGTGATTAGAAGACCTATTTCACGATGTTCCTCTTTTGAAAAAGTCTCTTCGGTACCTTCCATTTCAGTAGTTGCTGTATATTTGTTATCTCCCAAGCATCTGATAGTCCAAAAACTAAGGACTGCTACTATCTGAATAATGTGACAAAAGCAACAAGTAAATTTAGAGTGGCCTGCAGCAATTTAAATCGATCCATTGAATGCATTTACTAATCAGAAAAAACTATGCATATGGAATAGTTACAGACTACGATATGTACAGTAGCAGACATACGAAAATCTGCTGCTATCTACGCCATTTCGGGCATACGTAGTGTAGAAGATGTTATTGGATTCATGACACAGATTACTATACTTTTTGGAAACTGATTGATGTTATCACGTGACGTTTTGATGACTCACTTGCATCTGAGTAATCCGTGTAGTGTTTTATATCGTCACAAAGAACATAAAGAAAATGCTGATCGATTAAAGAACGAGGCTATGTATTATGTCCTCAGTTATGGCAACTCGATACTTCAGGAATTTATCGATCAAATTGGTTTACCCAATGTGGGAAATGTTTCTGCTCGACAGGGCGCACTTGGAGACTTAATTGAACTGATCGCTGACTACTTTGAATAAGATCCTCACTTTGATCAGAAGAGTCTATTCTCAACAAGTATTTTCACTACTCAATTGATATACTTATCATCGATCGGTATTCCATCATCGATTTATACAGTACTTGCGTTCTAAAACAAATTCTTTCTTTGTAAATCGGCCAAAATAGGTTTCCAAATTGATCGCAGAAGTGTTTGAAGGATTTCCAGTCTTAATTGAAAAGCCTTTTTTGGTCGGTTTACTGGGAAACGATTTCTTTCTAGTGTGTTCGTTTCTTTTCGCTAATGATGAATTAGAAGCTACGATCAAGCGACGGACATCTAGTGATCTGATATGGTGGGTATGATTAATTGGATATCGATGTAGCTACTAGTGTTGGTCCACTTTTCACTCATAACCACATCTGCTCCCTTACAACTTAGTAAATAGGTTTATGAGGAAGAAGATGCCTTCAAGCCTAGTATCTTTCATTCCAATTCGATGAATTTGTGAAAAAAATGAACTAAGATAGAGTTCGAGTAAGTGTCTTCATATCTGTCACCCCATATGAGAGATGCTACATGAGCCCAAATATCTCACTGTACAGGACATTAGTGACTAACATAGAGCTTTGACTAAAGAAACATTAACTGGACTCAACATAATAAAAAATTTTGCGAGCCACCAAAAGACGATAACTTCATCTTGGTTACTACTGCTTTGTCAGAAGACCTTTTGATGTTGTTGACTAGCGCAAGCAAACAATATTTATCATGCAAACACAAGCAGTTTGTCCTTGTAAATTTTCGCGTTTCTTGTTCTTGTTCTGTTCTTCATCAAACTACTCCTTGTATATTATAATGACAGTTTTCTTATCTTCGCGCAGTTTTTGCGCATATAAAGAGACACAATCTACCGTCTTGCAGTTCTCACGGATGACGGAAAGATAAAGTATAGCTAGTCGAATAATTTAGAGTTGGATTAGACACGCATAAAGAAACGTTCCGCACATAGACAAGGAGTGGAGAGAGCAGATGGAGGAACTGCGAAATACAGAATTCTCAAAAAGCGAAGTTGTTTTACCATGCTTCCCTATAAGCAATTTGTCATGAAGCAGTAGTGTCAAACTTGAAAGTTGAATTCAAGTATTCAACTATTCAAGTATTCAAGTGTTCACCCATTCAACTATTCAATTATTCAAGTATTCAACAATTCAACAATTCAACTCTTCAAGTATTCAAGTACTCACTTAGTTAACGGCTGGAATGCCATTAGAATCCTCTAATATCGACAGGTATTGTCTGAGAGACTACAAGCATTTCCTAGGATACTACAGCTTTGGGTTGAGATGCTGCAGACATTATCTGGGATGCTGCAGGAAGTATGTGAGAAGCTTCAGCTAATATGCAGCACTGAGTAGGAATAATGGTGTATACAGAGACGTACATGGGTCGCAGCTCTTCGTG